AATAGATTTTATACAGTTTATAAGGTGTAGAGTCATTTCTTTTTGCTTCACTTGTAGAATTATGATCTACTTCGTTATTAGTGCTATTATAATAATAGACTTCATGCCGAAATTGAAGATTTGTCATGATGTGATTATCTAATCTATAAGATCTTACGTGAAAGTCTCATCATTGTCTATATTGACTCGTTCTATCGTAATAATCAGTCTGCGCAAGATTACAGGTACACCTTGCTGACGAGTGCCAAATAGCACGAAACCTGGGTCTAGAGTTTTCTGTTGACTACCTTTAACCACCATCTTATCTCGACATAGTGCACGCAATGTCAAGTCACTTCGATTAGTGGTCATATTGCAACTTGGTCGATAGGATTCGATCTGTACTAAGAAGGACCTGACACACATGACATTGGTCACTATCCAATGGTCAATCAATTGTGAGAATCACCAATATATGATGAACGTATTTAGGTTGGAGATAGAACAATATATTTAATATAAATAGAAGAGATAAGTTACACAAGAATGACCACGCTTGTAAGGCTGAGCCATGCAATCCAATGAATTTCGAATGAATATTCCCGCGTTCTCCATAGTTAACATTCTCTTTGAGTAGATTGTTGAATACAATTATTATATATGCTCGACTGCAAAGGTCGTGTAGTTAGGGTCCAATGCCACTACAAACTAACCACTTTGATTGGTTATAAACGTATTTTCTTTGTATTTTGTAAATTTGTCTCATTCCTAATCAAACTATAAAATTGTTTAGTTTATCTGGTTCAAATAATTCATCTTAGAAGATAATAATATTACTAAATATATATTAACGTTATAAAAAAAACCTAGGAGCTGTAATGACTTGATAAAATACTGTTATAACTAGTTGTTATCAACGCGGAAAGACTAATACTTGCCACTTATTTAAACGGAACAAGACTGATATAGCTTGATGTAAGAGAGAAAATCAAGACTGTAGATGAATATTTATTTATGTATCAACCGCTGATGCACAAATGATCAGAACACATCAAAAATTGTAAACAAGTAAATATTATTTAATTATTTGGTCAACAGATAAACTTAGAAATTGTAAACTAACAGTGGTTGAAATCTATTATTCAATAATCTAATGTATGTTTATAATTTATAATATCAATAAATTAACTACTCTATAAAATATAACCAGATCACTGAGTCACACATTTATTTCTTCTTAACGAAGCTTTTCTACTTTTGTGTATTATTCATGAACCACGAATTGTATGGTATGCTATCACAGATGACTGATGAGCAACTCCCTTGCAACACAATTCAGCTGAAGAAGACAAATATTACATTTGTTATTACAAATCGATCACTTGGTGAGCAGTTATTTTGGTCACAACAACAGTTAATCAAGGTCCAGATATCATTATGATAACATATCTGACAGAAATACAGCATGACATGAGGTCGAATTCCCCTAAATTTTAGACATACCTAACTAACGAGTTTCGGGTAACAGAAAACCTAAGTGCAGAACTTCCTGTCGATTGCGTCTCCTTTGGCAAACCACTTAAACTAATGACCATATGGATCAATAAAGGTTTATAATAATTAAGGACTGAGCAACATGGTACTGGGTGTTACTAAATGATCCATTTTTGTATGAACATTTGTGTTTAATTACTGCATTCCGATCTGTCAGAAACCTAATATGAAAAAATAAGGAAAGAATGATCAACAGTAAATGGCTATCAGGTTGATTTTTCTTTCGAATGAAAAACACTTTCTGTCGTTAAAATAAACCGTGTCATACACAAGTGCAAAAACAAGATCCTCAAATACAACACAGATAACACCAATCCAATCATACTTTTTGGAGAAGGTCTGAAATAGGTGAAGACGTTTACGTACCGGAACAGCATCATCGATGAACATGGAGGATCTGATGCAAACGTAAAGGCAAAGAGTGGTAAAGCAAAGACAACATTCCTACAATTGAAGAACATATGGAACTCAAAACAACTGTCAACCAACATCAAAGCTGAAAACTGGACGACTACCACAACCATCATCAAAAGTGTACAAGTATTCATAAACAATTGTCTACTCAATATACTAAATGTCCGTTGACCGGTTACCGTCGGCAACAACCTACCGTGAGAGAGGACAAACCAACTTCCAAATGAAGGGGAAATCAGGAAAATACGTTGAAGGTGGACAGGACACACATTGCAGGAATTACCAAACTGCATTAGTAGGTAAGCGCCAACTTAGAATCCAGTGGGAAAACAGAAAAGAATTAGGTTAAAGAACACCAAGTGCCGAGAATTGTAAGCAGGCATGAAAAGAAGGAATAGCAACTGGAAAGAACTGGAAAGAACTGGAAAGAATTGCCCAGGACAGAGCTGGATGGAGAATCCTTGTGGACGGCCTATGCTCTTTCATGAGGGATGACAGGCGTAAGTAAGTAAGTGTACGGGTAATTATGACCATTTTCTTAGTTATCTTTCCATAAGTTCTAGAAAACAACATTAAAATAAGGTATTTTAGCAATTTTTTTTTAAAATTTCGTCTTTCGTTACCTTATTAATATTAAAAATATTTTCATATTATATCAAACAATCAATGTTCTTATAAATAATCTCTTCAAATCATTTCAAGAACCATTGTGATATGACAGTCAGTAGTGTAATCTTATCAACTGTTTTTTTAATCACATCTTTTTTTAGCCATTTGTTATTCGACATTAAACACTTTTGTTTTAATATTCTGTAGATAAACAACTATTTTAATTAGCTAATATGTCCAGTTAACCAGTTAACCAGTGTTTCTGTCAACGACAACTATTCAATTCATGTTCAAGAATTAGTCCTATGAGCACATTTTCAGTCGGTTCATATTAGTCATTCAGTAATTTTATCAAATTACTCAATCTGCTTTATGGGATATTATGGTGATAATGTGAACAATAGTTACCGGATGTGGGAGTATTTTGGATAAATATGCTATAAAAATATAACATCTTGTATTTTATTAGTAAACACCACTAGATATTTGGAATCCTGATCAATATACATCTACTGTAACCACTCAGCCGACTAAGTAAGGAGTGATTATTGAAATCGAGAAGCAGTGTAAGCAGATTAGAACCAGACATTTTGATGAAAATTAATGTGATAAATGTGATATTAGTCACATATGCTATCAGTTACGTTCATCATACCGAAGCATAGTATAGTAAGTTAAACACCAACAACAGTTTTGTATCCTTTAAGTATATTACTGGTTGTGTGGTAACCGAAAACATTAAAGTATATGGAATTTATTTTATTTTTATTATTCCAAGTATATTGCATGATAGATATCACGATAGTCAATATTAAAAATGAAGCACATCTAATCAATTTGGAAGTACAGTGCAAAACAATAATAACATGTGAAATGATTCAATATGAATTACTCCCACAGTACAATTTGTCTGAAACGTTTTTTGCACTCAAAAAATAGCTAGAGTATGATATTGACTCCAATAAAATAATAGATATATCTGTGAATAATTCTAGATAACGTCTCTGACCGTAAAGCTGGGTGACACGAGATCGAATCCGCCAGGGAGCACCAGTTCCCTCAAGATTACAAGTACACCTAGCTGACGAGTGCCAAGTAGCACGAAACCCGGGTCCAGGGTTTCCTGTTGACTACCTCCAACCACCATCTAAAATCTATTTCTTATTATTATTATTTGCCTTATCGTAAATCACCGAACAAATCATCAAGAATCCTAAGAGTAACAAAATAGTCAATACCCACTATATAAATAACTTGTTAATAGTTTCTTAATACAACCAAAGGATTTGTGAAAATCAAGTAGAAATGAATATTTGTTTTGTTTTTGTTTGAAACTCTTTAACAGTTATCAATTATAATCATATACGATATTAAATTCAGGATGATGATCTTGAATAAACGGATTTCCAAATCCCTGAATAAAATGTTCTGTTCAGCTAATCTCCGCATTATTTTATCAAGCCGGCCTACCCTTCACGGATGTGTTAAGGATAAACTTCCACTTTGGGTCATATCAATGTGAGTCTATAAATTTACTTGCTTATGTGTGGCAGGCTACATGGGCCGCGCGAAGCGATCTCTTTATAAACGCATCTCAGAACACTACCCGATATGACTTTTAAAAGGAGAATGTTCAATACAAGAGCATTTAATCAACTCTGAATACATCGCTCTAAAAGAGTCATCTTTTAAAATAATCTACACAGTCAAAGGAACTGGACAGAAAGGAGGCCGGATCAAAACTTATGCATTGCTGTGGCATTGGCGATGCACCAGTTCAAGCCCGAACTCTGCGTGTCCAACCTCTCACCCTTCCTAAGCCCTAATTCTCTTCTGTAACATGTTTTGGTTTGTTTGTTTTTAAAATTAGTGTTTTGTAATTTTAAACCGTAATCAGTTATTATTACCCTTTGACAATTTGTCATGATTACTACTTGGTTATCATTATGACCCTTGTTTTTCGTTTTCCGTCATATCTATCAAACGGACAATTATATTTTATGAATCTGACCCGTAAATTATTTTCATCCTCCAGTTATTAAGTAACCCCATTTGATAATTAGTCTCTAATCACTTTATGGTGCAATCTTTTCTATCCTTCTATAGACATATTATTTACCGCACAACTATAAATACAAATGTACAGCTTAAGTAAATGATTTTGTCGAAAACAAAAATGTTTTCTCTGAATTCTCTTTATTTTTATTCAGGATGATACCTTTACAGTACTTACTTGAAAGCCCATAGAGTACATTTCCAACATCAGTCGATGTGACAAATTTCATCAATCATCATTCAATATTTTAGGCTATTGACGAACCATTCTATTGATGAAATAAGTATCATGGCATTCGTCATGGATCGATCACAGTTTGAATATCACAGAAAATCAGAAAGAATTCGATCATCACTACAAACTAGACAAGCATGATATTGGCCACCACTCAATGAATAGTTAATGTAAACCAAAGAACGCTAAACTGTTGATTTTCATGAGATGCCGTAGTAGTAGTAGTAGTAGTAGTAGTAGTAGTAGTAGTAGTAGTAGTAGTAGTAGTAGTAGTAGTAGTAGTAGTAGTAGTAGTAGTAGTAGTAGTAGTAGTAGTAGTAGTAGTAGTAGTAGTAGTAGTAGTAGTAGTAGAGTAGTAGTAGTAGTAGTAGTATAGTAGTAGTAGTAGTATATATAGTAGTAGTAGTAGTAGTATAGTAGTAGTAGTAGTAGTAGTAGTAGTAGTAGTAGTAGTAGTAGTAGTAGTAGTAGTAGTAGTAGTAGTAGTAGTAGTAGTAGTAGTAGTAGTAGTAGTAGTAGTAGTAGTAGTAGTAGTAGTAGTAGTAGTAGTAGTAGTAGTAGTAGTAGTAGTAGTAGTAGTAGTAGTAGTAGTAGTAGTAGTAGTAGTAGTAGTAGTAGTAGTAGTAGTAGTAGTAGTAGTAGTAGTAGTAGTAGTAGTAGTAGTAGTAGTAGTAGTAGTAGTAGTAGTAGTAGTAGTAGTAGTAGTAGTAGTAGTAGTAGTAGAAGAAGAAGAAGAAGAAGTCTTAGTAGTTGTAAACACCTGAAGAAACTAGGGATCGGACACCCGAACTCTTGGTAACATGACGTTGTTATTTAATGGCACACATTCTTCATTTCGATCAATCTACAAAGTGGCAAAAAGATTATCCACTGCCACTGATGATGGTGGTTAGGCATTCCTGCCTATGAGCCTGACTTCACGTAAACAGATGGACTATTTTGTGTATATTGAATTAGTCAAACTTATTAATTTATCCTTCATGCCAAGACATATAAGCTAGTGATTTTAATAAGTCATAAGAAGATTCACTACATGAAACGTCTTTCAGATTGTGTCAGAATAGCAGTTCCTAAAAATATCACGAAAACTAAATTCTTTAAAACAAAGCCTCATAAATAGTTTTTCCTCTGAACTGAGTAATTAATCTATGAGGACTGTTTCTACTAGTTTTTCTCCAATAAATCTTAACGCTATTGTTTCAGAGTAACCAGTTTATTCCTTAAAGTTTTACATTAGCGTGGGTGGAAAGAATAAATGTGATTTTGTTTTCTGGTTATTGGAACCCAGCTGGGTATGTTTGTCAGCTGTCTATTTCATGTAGGTGATCTATATATAAACAGACATTTGTTGTATTCATTTACATTAGTCAGTAAACTGTCAGGAAATCTTAATTTTAATTTACATTCTTGTTTCACTATGAACTAAGGTAATGAGTGGCAGTTAGTAAAAAGTCTAAGGACTTCTTGAATATCAAGATTCTTATTATATATTAGGAATGGATCACTGGAGTAATTTTTATATTAAAATCAACTGACTGTTATTTTTTATACTTTCCATAGATCCTTCCTTCTACAATTGCCAGCTTTAACTTAATTAAACAATTCCTTCTTGTTTAAGACATTTTGTAGATAGTTCTTATAGTATGCAGTATGAATTGATACTCATTGAAGTAACATTGGAAACTAACTTAATATTACTGTCTTTTTCAAATATATTTTAATAAAACACAATCATGATCCTTTCTTCATTCTTCTTTTTCATTTCTTAACTATTTTACAGTTTAGTGCCTACCAATTAATAAAAAACAAATGAACAGACAAACAAACAAGCAACAATAATAAAATGACAATGACAACAACAGCCAATTTTTTTAGTCATTTTGTCAATATTTTAGAATTTTTTTGTTCTGAACAAGAAATATACAATATAAACAATACTTGATCATAATACTGTGGATAATAGGGATAATGGACAGTGACACTCAATATGTGACTTCATTGTCTGTATATTTGTCCTAGTGTGTTCGTGCATATGTGTGTGTGTGTGCATAACCATGCACTGATCGATTACGTTGACGTGTTTACTTCTATACGATTTGTTTGTTTATAAAACCGGAAAATTTAAAACTGAATCAAAGGAAATGAGTAAATAGTGAAGATGAAACTAGTTTGTTTTCTAAATTCGGTTATTCATTTGTTAAACCGGAGTAGGTTTGTTTATTTGTTTATCTTTTTTGACTTTGAATAAAAATGAAGAGGGGGGAAAAGTAAATGAAATTACTCCGTTTTAAAAAAGAGGAAAAGAAAACAAATTTGTTTTTTTATTTAGTTCAATGAGTTTGATTAACAATGAAAATTAACTGAACAACTCATTATTATTATTATTATTATTATTATTATTATTATTATTATTATTATTATTATTATTATTATGATTGGTAACTATTAGTAGATCAGTCTTCTTTTTTAAATTGTTGCCCGGCCTTGTTTCTGCCAGTGCGTACATACAACATGCTTCATGTTTACATGCTTGTTTGTTTGTAAAAAAAAAAGTAAGGACAGGCAAAACACTACGAACTGAGATGCATAATCTGTAGTAGATCGGAAATATTTAAAAATATAATTAAAACAATAGAGTTCTGAAAAAAAGATTCTTAGTTGTTTGACTGTAAGTCAAGGTTTAGTGAGAGAACAACATAAGTGAGGAAAAGAGATGTAAGATTAAGTACCGTCAAAACCATAGAAACCAGTTAGGAATTTGGGAAAGTCAGGGAAAATTTCAAATTACTCAAATAAGATGATAAGAAGATGAAACAATTCAGATAAGAGAAATAACATTTGAACTAAAGATTTCCACAGTAAACTTTAGTCATTCTTTGAATCATTTTCCGCTAATTAAAACATTTGATTACAGAATAGATCATATACGACAAGTCATAGTAGCTCTTCAGTCAAATCTCAGTCAGAGATTTTCAAGGGGTTGTAAATTTGTTACGATGGCCAAAATGTGTTCGAATTTTACGCTTTTGGTAAATCTGATTTCTAACCGCTTCACACCAACCGATCACCTAGTAGTAACCAATGTAATTTGACCGTAACCTTAGTAGTTATTTTATATGTCAAGCTTGTAATGTTTCCTGCCATTCTGAATTACTCAACATAGCTCTTCACCTTGTTTGAGGTCATTTGGTTGGAGGCAAATCTCAGTAAGTCATATAGAATATTGAAATAGATATTTCGTCTTCATCACTAACGACGCGATCATCTTGGAGCTAGACAGAGAGGTACTAAAGTGATGAGTGAGGATTGTCTGCACTAAATCTCCTTCATTGTGTACAAAGCCAAAATCTACTTCATGCATTGACAAACCCTATATGTTTTCACCTCCAAACTCATATCCAAGAGATTTTCTAGTTTCTGTTTTGTGCATCAGATGTTATGCATCCATTCTCGTGCTTGAATTAAAACATTGTCGGAGTTGTCTATTATCTCCAACGGCTGTAGCAAAATGGTCTGTATTCATCGTTATTATGATACTGGTAAGACGACGTTTTTCCTTATAATTAAGGTTGGTGCATGATAAACTTAAACAGTTTTCCGGGCATTACTACAACAGACAGTCATCATTATACGTGTTCTAGCTTGGAACGCCAAAAGTCTTGTTTATCTACATATTAAAATTAAAATCACGGATCGAACAAGGAATCCAACCCAGGACCTTTGGCCTTGCTCACGAACGCTTGACCTCTAGACCATTGAGTCGGGATCCAACGGTGTCAACATCTAATACTACGATCTCCACAAACCCGACAAACTGATATTTACATTTTAGCCCGTCTTGGTCTACATGCCTAAATACTTAAATCAGTCTCTACAATTACTAATTTTGCAAGCTGAGATCTACGAATGCCGTTATGAAGTTTCCAATAGAACTCATATTTGATTTTAGATAAGACAGTCAAAAGAATCAATGGTAGATACTACGAGAATTCAATGGAGTATGTCTCTGTCCTCTTGAGTTCTTACTGTAACAGGCAACCCTTCATTCATGAACTATGTAGAACTTACCAAATACGTCCATAGCTCCAAGTGGCTACACCAGATCAACACGGTGAGATAAAAATATCAAGAGAAATACTAAAGGAAAATCTATAAATGAATGTCAGTTGTAATTTAGCCCACGAATACAGGTTTTGCCTTCGGAGTTAATATTATAGTAAAAATAAAAAGGATGCTGGAGGTTAATTCCGAAGCTCAAAAAATAGAAAGAATGAGTCTCGCTGACTTTGTGCATCGGCTAGATAAAGTCAAGTGGACGACTACGATCAGGTTTTGCATGAAATTTTCAGATACACCACATACGTCAATGGCATGAGACCACAGTCTTGAGTGCTAAAGACACAGAGTATGAAAACTGAAAACTCCACCTCTGAAGACTATGAATAACACTTTGTAGAATCGATATGTTAACACCCGTTTCGAATGACGGATGGGATGAAGTGAAAGAAGAAAAGTTGAAAAAAAGGTTAAAAAAAACAACCGCAAACGGAGGAGGAAGTTGGTCATAAATAGGATAACCTTGAAAAGACTGCATTCATGAGATTTCTGGTCGAGGCCCATCGCAAAATTTTTCGAGAGTGTTTTTACGACTTGTTAGCTCCTAACTTTTTCGACCTAGCTACCAACACAGGTAGTTTGTGGAACAAAGGTGTTAAATTTCATATAGTTTTGCCTTTTCAAATTGATCCTCGAATCTGTGAGAAACCAGCATCATTAAAGAATCTGGCTACCCATTGGAAAGATCCTACTACAGTCAGTATGGTCTTCAGTATACTGCGCACCTGGACCTAGAAACTGTTGACTCCTTTATGTACAAGTATTCTATCCGTTATAGCTCTGCTGGTGCATCACTACAGTGAAATCCAATTACGATATCAAGGTCATAGGTATGGTTATGACAATAAACTAACAATTATATGATCACCTTTTTGATGTTGACGAATAAAGGATTGCCAAAATGATTCAGTACATCAATTCTACAAAAGTGTTAAGTATTCTTAATATGAAAATCAACACAGTGGCGGACTTTTCATATTTATGTGTGTACGAGATTATAGGCCATAATGATTCAAAAACACAGACGTAAACCTTTTTGAATATTTTCTTAAAAAACCATTTCGAATATATAAAACTGTCAATATGGTATTTATTTTTAAGTAGGTTATTTCTTTCTTCTATCGAAATAACTATGACACTATTTATCATAATCATAATCTTGAAGGTCAAAATAATAATAACCGAAATAAGAGTAAAATGTTTTCAATGACTTTAACAGTTGTCAAAAGTATGTATAATGTTGTTAGTAAAACAAGAATATATAACCTATTAGTTTCTTTGCTTAAATCCAATTTTTTCACATATTTATTGAGTTTACATGTATTTACTTAAAATCAACACTAGCAAGAAATATGTGAGAAAGCAAAAAGGGATACCTGTTATCTTGAGTAGACTGATAGTTCATACATGAATAGAAAAGTATTACAAACTGAAATGGGACTACTGAGCTGTTCTTCCCACAAATGACTTTTTATGTGATTGAGATGTGTGCAATAATCTAGGTTACGTTCATTAATTGTTAAAATCGGTCAAATTTCTTCAAACATGAAGCTCTTTCAAGGTTGCTACCGGTCTCAAGTTCGAATAAAGGAGGAGAGTTAGAGATGGGGTTAGCAACCCCATCCAGTAAAAAAACCTTGCTAA